GTAACATTTGCACTATTTAAACCACAACTAATATCTGTATATAGTATATTAATTATCAGCAGCACATTTAGCTTTTCTTTTCTTTTTCTCATGCAGAGAGAGAATGAGTGGATATAATTTATAATTATTTTTCTTTACATACTTGAATCATGACAGTTTGATATGGGTCAGAATTTGGGAAATGTTGTGCATTTAATTTCTATTTAGTTGGTTTTTTGAGGCAAGACTGAAATTTCACATACCTTCCTTGCCTTTAGTTGATTTGAAAATTATTTTGAGGTCTAGAGGGGAAAGTGCTGTATTAAATCTCCCTAATAATTTTATAAACAGCTGATTTGCATTAATAGTTATATGTGATCACTCAGCAAAGACAGAGAGCCAAGCAAGATGTTTATAGCCAAACTAGATAATCAGATGGGAGAAAACAGAGGAGTATGCTTGCCGTAGAATTAATATGATTCCTAGAAACTGTGATTTTTTTTTTCAGTAGATTTTGGTAGTGAGGGTAAGCAAACAGCTAATAATTTTTTAAGAGCTGTCAAACCTCCTTCCTCTAATGATTTGTTTATCAGAGTGTAGCGGGTTTTTATGGATGAGAGACATGAGTGAATCCTTTGCTACACAGATTCTTTGGCCTCTCCTACCTGTTGATGATGATTTAGCATAACATATTTGCAGTAATAAAGATGCTAATCTATTGCTTTCTGCATTTTTATGTGGTCTGCGATTAATTTAATAAATTCTGTAGCTCTTTGTTTAGACAATTTTACTTCTAGATGGTCTTATGCTTCAGATTCCTAAAAGTGTTTGCCTTGCACCTGTTCTTAACACAGGTGGCAATTCAGCCCAAGAAATAGGGATTGATTATTCATGAAGAGTGAGCTGCTTTGCTGTGGTTCAGAAGCTGGGAACACTGTCTCATTGTAAGAATAATTGGTCATTCTTTATTTGTCCTGCTGAAAACTACTTAGACATTTTAATCCATTTTCAAAAGCTGCTAAGGTTTTAACTTCAGCTGGAGTCACATAAAGGAAGGAAGGTAACCAGGGATAACTTACAGGTACATGTTTCTAGGTGGTAGGTGAACTGTAGAAATGGCCAATAAATTATTAATTTTTTTAATATAGGTTTTTATTTATACCAGGATCTTAACATGGCAGCAAAAGGCACCTATGGATGCTTAGCTCTAATTAGAGGTAGAATAAGGTCTGCATTGAAGTACCACTTGATTATACTTTAGCTGCGTCAAATCTATTTTATAACATTAACACAGATTAAATTTATTTAATGGGCCATATGGTACTCTTCATTTTCTCAGATTTGTAATATAAACCTGTAACGTGATGCTGAAAACCAAAACGAACTCCAGAGAAATGAAATTATTCAATTACAAACAGCATGTGCATCCTTGCACTGACATGAACCACTCCTTGATTACTTTCTAACCACATGGCTTGATTTCCTTCCAGTCTAAAGGGAGGGCTTGATTGACACAGTGGAGACCAGTCTGAGTGAGTGAGTGATCTAAATAGTGTTATTATGTGTGTTTTACTCTAAGACTAACCAGCTGAAGAAATGTAGTTTGCCTGTTCTACAAGAGGGAGTTAGTTCTTACAGAGCGTTTTGCTGATAATTTATTCTAGATGCATTTTTAAAGATTTTTTTTTTTTGCCTACATAAAAGCCAACATTTAAAGGATCATTAAGTAGGACCTGACTGCAACTTGTGAAGTAATCCACAGCAATTAAACCTTTTTTCCAAACTCACAAATTGTGTTTTGCATATATGAAAGAAAAGATTCTGTGGATTATCAGAGTCAAAATAAATCAAATTGTTAAATTATAAAGAGGCTTTTCTGTAAGTGACACCATTTTAGCTTTAAACATGCAAAAATAGCAGATTGGTTGAGGGGTGAGGGGAGGGAAAGCAGAATGCCAAAGTGATAGACAGTTGCTATTATATGAATATTGACGAATTACTCTGCAGTGAAGAACTTTAAAATGCTTTTAAGTCTTGTGTTTCAGAACATTGGCATAGGTGTAATCTTCTCCCCCAACCCTGTCAATTCTGTGGCCCACATCCCCTAATAGTCTTTTACTGGGAGTGACCTTCATTTCCTAGCAGCAGTAATCGTTTTCAGTCAGTCTTTTCTCTGTTCTGCATTGATGCCTGCTTGGCTTGCACTAAGGATCAGGCATTCTGCCGCCAAGCTTGGAAGCTGCCCTCCTTGTCATAAATTGCAGTTACAGTTTTGGGAGATGATCTTTTCCTGAAAGAAACTTGAGACAGTGACTGTACATTTTGGTAGGTTTCACGTGATGCATAAACGGTTATTTCCCATTGATTAACTAAGTGGACTTTGAAGTTAATTTCTGTGTCAGAAACAGTAGTGTCTTCAGTACAGAAATATCAAGCAAAAATTTAGGGTGGTTCTTCTAGGTAAGGATGAGTAGGGAAGGAAATAAAGCAGCAACTACTGTCATAGCCAGTATTGGTGGGCAATAGTCCTATAATGAGGTAGGTATGACTTCAGTTATGTTTCTAGCTGCTGGGTTTAATGCTATAAATGCAGATGATGTTATTTTACCTGCAAAACTATAATAATAAATACAAGGCTGAGCTGCCTGGACAATGACAAGCAAATCCATATAAATAAAGGAACTGGAACTCCATTTATTCATATAAACAAAAAAAAAGTTTAATCCCATTTGAGATTTGATATACTTATTTCCTACAGATGCTGATCCAGTAAGATACAACTTTCCCCCTTGTTTTGCTTTAAGTGTGTGGGAATGCCTCGCAACATCCCAAATGGCATTGCATCATTCTTCTGCATGTGAAGTCTCTCCTTTTTGCATCTTACTCCTGGAAATTTTTTCTTCCATTTCTTACAACTGTAAAACAGGGGTGGAGGAAGAGGCTTGCTTTGCTGATTCCTTCAACTTACTTGCTTTGAATTGTTATTGTATGTGAAATATGTGGCATACTGTATGGTGGGCTGTTCTTGCATTGACTAAGTTAAAAGCTTCCCTATTAGTTTAACATTTAATTGATGGGAAAGTTTTATTCGTTGTAGGACATACTTATTCTTTATCTTGAAGTCCATCAATTTTGGGAAACATTTAATTTGTTTAATGAATACAAAACACACTACATGAACTTTGCAGTCATTGCCACGGACTTGAAGAATGCTGATGTAGAGTCCGTGTAACAATAAAGCTAATTTGAAACAGAACAGTATCTTGCACGTAAAGCATTCTCCCATATTAGTGCAGTGTTAAATATTTATTGTTGAACTAGTCATTATAAGGGGTTTGTGTGTCGTAACAGTGAAAGTCGAACAAAGCAGTTAAACTCTTAAGGGGCTAGCACTATTGAATTGAACGTTGCTGTCATAAAAATACAAATCCTATACCATGAAGGATGGTGATGTAACAAACAAAAGTACCATATCTCATTGTACTCTATCCAAATCTGTAAACATTTCATATGTAAACTTCGATACATAAAAATACTTCATTGTTACTACAGTGACAAAAAAGGTAACATATTATTTTTGAATTGTTAAAATGGAATGTAGTAAAGTGTTTTCTGAGGGGCAGAATGCTGGCTAAAAGACAGAATAGTATTTACTAGAGGTGGCCTCCACACACTAGAAGTAACTTCTATTTCTGTTTTGTAACTCTCAGTCTTTTTGGACAGACTTTGTACAACTGTGAATGTATATAAGAATGGTGGGAGCAGAAACATTTAACAAGAAAAAAAAGTGATAAACCACCTTTCAAAAATATTTATTAAATGAAAGCTATTTATTGAAAGTATCTTAAAATAGTTTTCTGTGAGAATCTGCAGCTCTTATTTATACTGGGTAGTATGCAATTGCATTCTTCATAGCACTGAAGTGAAACTGAAGCAATAATTATGCTAATTTTAAAATGGAAAAAATACCAAGATTTGTCTCTTTCTGACTCTTAAAATATTTTCCTCCTAACCTTGGAATTTTAATATACAGAATCTCATGTATTTTAGTATTAAAGGCAAATTAATCTTACACTGTTCTTGTAGCAAGCTAGTAATTTAGTAGGTAGGTTGGAGGAAGTTATGTTACACTATATAAACTGTTAGATAAATTTAAATTATCTCTAGTACTTCAACTTCCTAACATTCTTAAAAATAAATCTGAGCTGATTTGCTATAATAGCTGAAAGCCTTTGTGCCTACCGTTTACTGTTTAATTACCTGATACTAGTGTACCTGAAAGCTACACTAGTATATAGCACCCAGTCTTGATCTTGTTTCCCAGGTTCCATCTTGATATTTATTATTGTTCTGTTGCTAAGATTTCACCATTAAATACTTATATGAAAGAAATACAAACATGCCACTGATTAAAGTTGTTTTAAGCAATTTACACATGTGTATTTCTGTATCTTTAGCCTTTTAATTTTGTTTTTCTCTTAACCCCTACTCTGTAATTGCAACAATTTCTTCAGACTGCCAGCATTTCGTAGACCGTAGGTATCTTGAATACAGTAATCTGATTCAGCTGTTGGAGAGCATGCTATTACCTGAATAAAGAACGGATTCCTTAGTAGCCATTAAAGATCTCAGAATGTGCTTCCAAAAGGCACCATCGTGACGACTGCTCACCTCCTGCCCAGTATGGGACGTTTCATATGCTACCAAAGGCTGCTTCTCTTGCCCCTCCTACCATTTCAATTAGACTTGGCTTTCATTGTCCTTCGAAAGTCTCAGCCATGTTACAGCACGCTCTGCGTTCTTTGCTATGTCCGATCCCAAACACTGCAGTATGAATCAAGAGCATGAAAGCTTTGTAGACTCACTCACTACTAAGTATGAATCAGATAATACCTGTTTACACCAGTGTAAATTCCAGCCTGTTCTTAAAATGCTTCAACAGGGAATGCTGTGTGAATCAGGTATCGATACAAGAATTGGATTGCAGATAAGTAAAATTCCAATTTGTGTTTGTTTTTCAGAGCCAGAGCTTCAACTGCGTGGAAGAGACTAGATGTCCGGGATCTAATGTGAGTTCTGTGCAGACACAGGGAGATTCAGATTATTTCATCAACCATCTTGGAGTACCTGCCATGCAGTTTTCTTATGAGGACATCAAAACATCAGAGGTAGGTATGAATAAAACTGGATGAACTGAAAACAGCAGTAAGATACAATTATTTTTTCTCAGGTTATATCCTTACATGACAAGCATGTTGTAGTAGGAAGTTATTTCCTGTAAGTGCATTTTTTTTAGATCTTCAGAGGATTGCCACAGACCTTCAAAGTGACTAATTTTATAGGGGTATGGCATTCAAACAAACAGATATTTATAAAAAAATGAAAATAAAAAAATTAAGGACATTATGTTAAAAACGTTAATATTGCTGATAGTATTACAGGTTACGCATTATCTAACCCAAATTTCAGACTGCTTTCAACATAGTGGAAACGAGTTTTGATGTGTATTTTTTCATGCACAGTAGGATGAGACAGCTTTCAAAATGAATTGTATATCCATTTTCATGCTGTGGGCAAAATATGACTAGTATACATGTTGGTTGTAAAGATCTGTATGCTTGATTGGAGTCTTCAAAACACCCTGTTCTTTTTCAGTCCATTGTCCTCTGCAAGGTAAGTGGAAGGCAGAGGCATGTTACACTGTTTGGAGACCAGGCTGGAACTGGATACAGATAAGCTGTCAAGAATGTTTGTCCTTCCTCAGCCTTCACTACTGTCAGTTGTACTTGTGCCTGAACAGCTCAAATTTACCCTCAGCTGGTCAGCTGAGGATCAGGAAGCCTGGCATTAGTTATTTCATGAGAAAAGTGGTCATGAGAAAAGGTGCATGTGTTCCTGTAAATGTAGCCATGCGCTGACTTCATATTCCCCTCATTTGTCATCTTGTACTGTGCTTACCTACACGTATGCACATCTTCCCAAGTTCAAGAACAAAGCTGAAGCAGAGTTGAACTGGAATGCTTCCTGGCACTGCTTGCTAATACATTTCTATTTCACAAATGCAAAACAAAGCAGAACTGGGTCATATATTGGAGCATTGTTGTGTAAATTAAAATATATTAAGTCAAGAATTTAGATAAATAAGAATACTTCTGTTTCTAAACATCACTGCACCTATTAGTCAAAGTATTCTGTTTCAGATTAAACACAAGGCAGAGGCTGTAAGAAAAATGTGAAGTCAGAAGACATACGAGTGCAATGTTTATGACAGGCTTGTGGTCCACGGTAAATTTTTGTTGTCACTTAGCAGCTATTCCACATAATATTCATTCCAGATCTGTGTGTATTGGGTCTATAGAGCCTGAGAAAGAATCTGCAAACTTCAATATATCAAAATAAGTATTTCCCAGCTACTTTTACAATATGAACACTGAAGTTTCCTTTGGTTATTGACTACTTCAGTCCTACCAAAGTTACTCTTCATGTTCAGTTAACTTTGCAGATGTGCTCTTTTGTCTCTCAAAATGACTCAGCAATGTAATTAAAATCATAAAAAAATGTTTTTCATATTTGCTTAAATATGACACATCAAATTTGATTATCCATTGAAAACTCAGCTTTTGTCCTTGCAAAATCATTTCCTAGAAATAAACTTACGACAAGTGTAATTTGCAGTCTTGAAGTTGATGTACTGTACCTCTCAGACCATAGGAGATCTTGACCCCATGAGATCTGTTTCTTGTGAGAGATAAGTTTGCTTAGAAATATGTGTAAACTTCTGTTGGTAAGAGAATGGATTTTTCTTTTTTACCTAAAAGTGAAGTCACATGGAATGTTTAAATTTGGATTCTTTGCTATATTTTTGTTATTTATTGTAGTGATTATTAACAGTCCTTCAAAACATAGGCTCATTGTCTCTCCTATATTCTATCAGACAAGCAATCTCTTTATTGTTTACTGTTTATTTCAGTTGTTTATTGTATTGAACAGAGATAGTACTATTATAAGGCAGACAGAAAGCATGGGTTTTCACCCATATTAATAAACATTGTAGGAATTTCTGTTGTGCAGGTTAGTGACAGGAAATAATCTATTGAGTTGCAGGGAGGGATTTTTGCTTGTTTGTTTCCAAGCTATTCAGCTTTTTAAACTATGCCTCAGCTTTATCAACTTCATTGCAGAACAAGATTTGGATTTGGGAAAACAGATTTCAGAAATGGGATGTTTTGACGTGCTTTTGTAGACTGTCATTTTACCAGGTTGGTTTCTGCTGTCTCTCTCACTACTGTGACCTACTCAGTAAATTCTCTTCTTCTGGAATATACATTAGTTGTTTATTTTATCCACCTGTCAGACAGCATGCAGTGTCACATAAACCTGATGTTATTCCACACTCAAACCCCCCCCCGTTTTAGAGTAAAAAAAGCCCAAGACCTGTGCCTTGTAGTCTGCCTACAGAGCAACGGTTATAGGTCAGCTTTAGAAATCCATTCCTTACCGAGTCAGTGTAATGCCAATCCCCAGAGAGAAGGTTGTAAAAACTTTTCATTGGCAGAAAATTGAGGAGTAAATAAGAGGAAATAAAAGTTGTAAGAGGAAACACTCAGACCAGAAGAGTAAGTAAAACTGTCTTGCTTGAAATTACCTAATACAGCGAACCACGGCCTCAGGGATGTTAAATCTGCATGGCAAATGCCTGTGGTCAGATCTGTGAGCTAGTAAAGGGCATTCTAAGTATTCAACCACTAGTATAAAAATGCACTAAGTGAAATGCAGCTCACTTATTTACTAGCAGAAAATGTGTGGCGTTTTAGTCTGTAAGTAAGAAGTAAACTTGGAAGAATTTCTGTAGTGGAAAAAACCAATATTATTAACCCAATTTCCAAAGATTCTCTTGGAGTTGCTGAAGAAAGCCTTCCTGTCCTCCTAACATCTGCTGCACTGGCTTTACCTCTGTGTGAGGGTCACATTCTGATATGTAATGTATTATGAGAAAGGTTGATCAGCTTTTCCTAATACTGCAGTTTCTCTTACTTGGAGGAGGAGTCATGCTGTTCAAGTTAATGATTAATTTACACCCAAGTGACCATGTAGAGCCTCCAGAGAAGTAATCTTGATTTCAGATGTGAGTTTCTCTGCTACTGAAAGCCCCTAAGTCTGTTAGTCCTCACCTCAGTGGAGAATAATATTAGAAACATCCTCACTTTGCTTTACATCAACAAGAAAGAGCAGCATAAAGTAAAAGAGCTCTTTAGATCACAGACTTGTCTTTGTTACTGCCTGTACTAAGAGCTAGATATCAATGAAATTACTTGATTGTATGATCGTTGGTACCTCAGGAATAACAAACTGGAGCAAGTGGGTAAATTCTGATTTTTTTTGTCATGTGTGGACCGTTTCTGTACCCTTGAAAATTATTAGTCGTGTTTGTATGACAATGTATTTTAAAATCCAAAATGGTATAACGGGTATAATACATAGATGTCCTCCATAATGGTAGAAAATACATGCGTGTAGCAGACAAAACTATTCATCATGATTCTGCTTGGTGACTTAGATGAAAGTTCTTCACCCGTGGTGGTGTTGTTTTTTTTTTTGTAAACGACATAATTGAAGTTCAGCTCTTGTTTACTTGATTGTAAATTAGGAATATCTCTGAAAACACTGGATATGGTGGTGTGTGATCTGAAGAGCATGTATTCGGTGTCTATTTGAATTCATCGTTGTTCTTGGATATACATTGATTGTGTGCCTGTGTAACAGAAAATACTGCTTTATCAATTAATAGCTTACCTCATTTCTCTTCCCCTACATTTCTTTTTTTAATCCTTCTTTGTGGCTTTTTGGCATCTTTTTGAATTCACACATTAATGGAAATTCTAATATTAAATGGTTTATTTCAGTTGTGTGATTGATAACTGTGTTCTTCCATATGAAGTAACATTCACTGCAGACTCAACTCTGCTCTTGTGGATGACCTCTACAAAATACAAAGTATTAAGAATTATTGAAACTTACCCATTACAGAAATAAAAGGGTCACTATTCAAATCTGTAGCTGTATTAACAGAAAGTGGTTTCAGTCACAGTGAACGCTTACTTATTAACTAATGAGAAATTTCCTATAACTGGAGACGTGAATGGAAAAGATAGATGAATCAGAGTACTCAGGGTTATCCTGTTTAACACAATCTGAGAAGTTGTTTTATGAAGATAGAATTATTTGTTTCAGAAAGTTGATCCAATTGATGTGGTTTTCAGGCAGTGGGTGGAAAGCCTGCATGGAACCAGAGAACTTGTTGCTCAGATTCCTATGTTCATTTCTTTATATTCAAAGTAAATTGAAACTAAAATCTTTCAAAATTTTGTTTGACACATGTTCTAGCTGACCATGCAGAGGTGTTTCAGTCATTAAATATGCTGACTTCCCACAATTCTTAGTCAATTGAATTTATGAGTGTTTAATACTTCTGAAACTTGATTGAACATTAATTCGTGTTCAGAGAACCAAAACATAATCACTTTTTACTTATTAAAAAAAGCCCCCTTGATTTCTCTGTTGCTGTAGAACAGGGTTTAACAGTGGTACAATGAGGCATATTTAATCCAAAGCACCTTTCATAATCAAACTGATGTTTCTGAGGAACAGTTTGTGATTCTGGTCAAACCACTGCATTTGAAAAGTTTAGATTCTTTTTCCAGTTTAGCTTTTTCCTTCCTTCCTATTTTCTTTACACATTTGTGTAATGGAACAGTGCTACCTCTTGATGAAAGGCTTGAAGCATAAACATGAGAACGGTTCTAGAAGAGCAGGGTATTCAAGTGTTAATTATTTTATTAAAATGTGTGCAAGTTTCAACTTCTGGTACAGTTTTGGAATTTTATCTATGAACTTTTCAAAAAGTTCTTTGGAATATAAATATCACAGTGAGCTAATACAGGAGTTGCAGCTTTATTCAGCAGTATAGATTACAAGGCAGAGTAAAATAAGTCTCTAGGGGATATGAAGGCTTTTTTGCCCCATTACTTTTTAGCTGCAATAGAAGCATCACCTGTTATGGAAAAGATGTAATTTAAAATGTAAGCTGTTTACACAGCTGTTGGTTATAGAGATGGTGATTTCAGGCGTTATATACTGAGAAGGACTAAATGTGCTTGGATATATTTTG